GAGCCAGTTGGCAGAACCGTTGGTAATATTCTGAGACGGGGGCTATCCCTTGTCTTAGGTGGAGGAATTCCTCGCGTGTGGCGGCTTTCAGGTGGTTGGGGTAGAACCGTTCTCGTAACCGTGTTTTTAGGCCTTCCCAGTCGAATCCGGGGTCGTGTTCGTACGTAGGCCCCTCATGGGCCCACCAGATGTCGGCCTCGTGTCTGAAGTAGAAGGAGGCTATCCCGACTTGGCGGTGTTCGGGGCATTGGGTTGCCCTGAATACCCTGTCGAAGGTCTCAATCCATTCCTCGAGGGTCGTGGGGTCTTCGTCTCCCGAGAAGGTGGGCGGTTGGTGTGCCGAGACTTGGTGGTGGATTTCCAAGTTCTCGTTCGCTGGTAGCGGTTGGGGAATGACGGTACTTAGTGCCTGGGCGATTTGGGCCAGGCGTTGTAGATTCTGAGTCAGGAGTTCCTGAGTAGGGTGTCTTGGTGTTCCTGTCTGTTTCTTCCTGGGTGCCATCCTGGTGGTTAAAGATCGATATTATTTTGTGTTTTCACCTTGATGTAATAAGTGGAGGAGAGTTTCTTAATATTAGGGAGGGATGAAGTGAGGGGAGGTGATGTGTAGGTTTCTCAGTCTCACCGCGCGTCCTAAGATTCCTGAGACCTATGTTCCTAAGTATCTAGAGTTCAAGCCTAATGTCCTAAAGTCTGGTCCTACGAGTCTTTCCCTAGGGTCAAACTTAGGCTCTGATACCAACTGTAACACCCCAGATTTTCAAGACATTTAAAAACTTATAATAAAGGTAGAATCTTATTAAATCCCAAGATGAATACAAGCGTTCGGGGTGCTATGCCACACCTGGGCTAGAGAACCCAAGTGCACAGGCTAACTAACTAATATCCTCAAAGCGTAAATACGTAAATGTGGCACGCAGGCCAAAAAGGGAAACTATCTACTTCTAAGTTCTAGCGCACTCCAGTGACTTAATCTTCTGTGCCTGAAAGCCAAATATATCTGTTCAGCGAGAGATGCTGGTAACCCACTCCAACGCGTTGAAATACAATACATATAGAGATATATATAGATATACGAAAACCATTTTGAGCATGAAGATATATCCTACGAACTCTAGCTTTAAAACCGGGAATGACTCGACAGATAAGGCCAGACACAAGCAGCAGTTATAACGAGCATATGCAGTTCACAACGGATAAGGCAGATAAGGCAAGCATAAACAATGATCATAACCCAACATGAACAATCCCCAACATAAATCCCATAGTCACATCCCCCAAGACACTCGTAATCACAACTCGTCCATGTCACAACACATAACACACTTTGTTGGCGCCACAGGACCAATCGCATGCCCATACATGAGGGTCAGCGCATATAGCTCTGACACGGCCCCGCAGCACCCTGCCCCGTATCGCAACACGGAGGGTTCGATCGCAACGGACCGATGAACCGCAGCTCATCATAGTGTTTGATCGCAACCAAACAGTGGACCGCAGCCCAAGAGAATGTCATCTGACCGCAGCCAGGAAAAAGGACGAACCGCAGCTCGTATAGAAACGTTTGATCGCAACCAAACGGTGGACCGCAGCCCAAGAGTATCAATCTGACCGCAGCCAGCTTCTGAACCGCAGCTCAGGATAACCAATCCGATCGCAACCGAATTGGGGTAACACACACATAACACATAGCAAGCACATGCAACCCACATTACACATTAGGAAGGGGGAGAAAACGTATAACAAAACCTATGCGTGATCCATCACTTACTAAGGATAGTCCTAAGGGGTTCATACTTCTTCCACCTAGGTCAACGGGATACCAATTCAACTAGCATGCAATATAATAGACTCATAAACCTACGAACGGTACCCGAAACATCACACTAGACATAGGCACGATAAACGGAGTCCGTTGGGACATCACGGGGAACGGGGAACATCAAACGGGGAAGCCGGGATCCCAAGTTGGGGGAATTTCCAGCGGGTAGCCGGTGGGTGGGGGGCCACCCGCCGGTTTTACTGTTCCGGGCAGCGGGTCGCCGGCGGGCAGCTGCCCGCCTGCCGGCCACCCGCTGCCAGGCGGTGATTCTCGGCACCGGGTAGGTGGCGGGTCCCCTACCCTCCACCTACCCCCCACTGACTCTTTTTCATCAATTGCGCCCCGGGAACCGTTGTGGAACCCGAAACCATGCTTAGACACTTTGCAACGCAATTAACGATTAACACGTAGACAATTAACGGATCAAATACGAGAAACGTACGGCACATAACCTATCATGCTTTTCTAAACATAATCGACACCCAAACATGCGATTTCCCCACCCGATACACCAAGAATAATATCATACGATACAACCTAGGGTTCTAATCACTTTTATAACATCAAGAATACGATTCGTCTTCTAATTACAAGATTCAGTACAAATAACACATAAGCATCAAGAATGCCAAACAATTATCAAGAACGACATATAAACATCAAGAACTCCGCATAATCATCAAGAACATCATTATTATCAAGAACCTACCAATATCAAGATCACCCATGGAATTATCCCATCAATCATCAATAATAATATCACAATTCATCAATATACAATAATATGGGGAAATCCTACGGGGGAAATCATAGCTATGAAAATAGGTTTTGTTGAGACATGGGTTACCTCTTAGCCTTAATTAATTCCTTGGCTATGAAGGATCTTTCTTTAAGCTTCCTTTGCTTTCTTGATTTCTCCTAAGGGGATTCTTGGAGCTCTTTTGGGGTGGTGGGGCGTTATTGCTGTGGGAAGTTCTAGGTGCCTCCTAAGTCCCCTATTTATATATTTAGGAGTCCTAATTAGGAACTAATATTATAGGCTTGCTAATTCTATTCCTTTTGGAACTAAGGGTTAGGTTTAGGGGTTGGGTTTATATATAAGGGCCCATGGACTATGGTGGGCCTTTTTCCCTAATTAATCATTATAATTCATTCTTTCTCTTGGGCTATTAATTAATTAATTAATTGGTTTTAGGACTCGTAACACGGGGTGTTACACTTCCTCCATACGTTTCTCAGCAAAACATCCACTTTTCAACTTCTCCAAGAAAACTCCCACGATTATCTTCATCTTCCTGAAATCAAAAACCTCTATGTTCCCACTCAAATAGCAAAGAACACAAGATAAAAAAATTCCAATCCAGAACTTGAGACCAGTAAAGAGGAAGTCATACCTCCCTACCCAATCTCAGATGAAGGGTTTATTCCATCAATAGAACATCTTGTGCTCAGCGGTTACATGTGGGAAGCTCATGGGTTCTGCCAATATGTTCTTGACAAGGAATATGGTGAGAAGGTTATAACCTTGCTCAAAGAAAGCGATCTTTACAATTTTGTCACGCATGTCTACAAATCCTTCTTCGCACACGATGTCACTGAATTGTATCTCAACGCAAAGGTTTCCCTAGACGCTGCTACCATTACCTCTGTGGTAAATGGAAAAGAGTTCTCTGTGACAAGCAAAGATATTCAAGAGGCATTCAAATTCCCAGAAACAGATGAATCATACCACTCCGACTTCTCCCAACATACATTTGATCAAAAGGCATTCTATGAGAGCATTCAGAACACCCAATCCTTGGAAGAAATCACGTGGCCTCTAAAGATAAAGTCCTTCAAGCTTGATTATGAGTTTACAGTAGACATCTTCAACAAGATTGTCGAGCATAAGACATCAGGAACTGATGATGTCTCAAAGGACAAGCTGAAAATGCTTCATGCATTTCTCAATGGATTCAATGTTGACTGGTCGAAAGTTGTTTTTGACTTTCTAAGATTGAATGTGACTTCTGGAAAGACGAAGGAAGGGGATATTAGGCGAAAGACTGGATTTGGGTTCATGATTGGTCATCTTCTAAACCACAAGAAGGTAGTTCTCAGAGAAGGGACTCCTCCTGGACCGAAAGTTTGTCACATGAAATCAAAGCCTCCCGGCTATGACAAATAACGAGCTCTAGAAATGGGAGTAACAGCAACTGCTCCAACTGCTCAACCAGAAAGGAAGTCATAAAGAAAGAAGGGTCCTAACACTAAACCACAAACGAAGCCGAAATAAAGTTAGGTGAAAAGAATCAAACCTACTCCAGTGGATGTTTCTGATGTTCCTGCCCCAACCAAAATTGAAACCGACACTTCTGAACCAACTGCCTCTAAGAAAAGAAGACTGAAGAAGAAATCTCATGTGGTCAAAATAGCTTCTGATCCAACACCGAAACCTCTCCAAGTTGCACCATTAACCATAAACACGAAAGAAGTTGTGCAGAAAAGAACCATCGATAAAAGGAAGTTTGTAATGAAGCCTTCATCGAAAGTGCAAAAGAAAATCAGTTCTTCCTCTGAATCAACTCACATTGAGCATTCAACAGAGGGAGATAGTTCAGAAGAAGATAGCTCTGAAGTTAGTAGAGCAAAACAAGCAGCAGAAAGATTCAGAATCTTTTAGAAAGAAGTTACAGTTGAACAACCAAAAATTATTCCAAGTCATGTTGCACCTGAATAGTCAAGTTTAGAGAAATTGACGAATTCTCCCGCGCGTGTTGCTCAGGGGGAAGAAACACAAGCTGTCCACCAGAAGTCAAGAAACCTTCAGTTCTTTCACAAGCACTTGCCTTAGTAAGAAAGAGCAAGACATCTTACACAAATATCGGCTGAGGCAAAGAAGGCCGAAAGGATCCTTCCACAAGAACCTACTGAAGTAGAGCAGGTCGAAAAGACATTGACACAAGAACCTGCTGAAGTAGAGAAGGACGAAAGCTTGCCACTCCTTTCCAATGATCACTTAAATCTCCCACAAGAACCTGGCTTGCCAGCAGAGACAAGAAAATTGATCAACGAGCAGAATGACAATCTAGCACCATCAAGGGATTAAGTCCTTCAGCAAACCATCTCAAATGAATTTCAGCGAGTGTTACAATGGCGCACCTCATCTCTCGACTTATTTCCAGAGAGGTTTGATACAATGAGTGAAGAGAAGTTTGCTCTTGAGCGGCTTGGTACTCAAAATGTTTATGATGCCACACGAATCGAAACCATCAATCGGGTTTACTCGTACATATTGAAGAACCGCAGTATTGCGAAAAGAAAAGCCCCGATCAGTTTCGATATCAAGAAGCCCCCACTTGATCCAGCGTTTAAAGCCAAAATGAAGGAAGTCAGAGCAGCAATGAGGTTGTCTAAGATCAAGACTGAGCCTGAAAAGCTGCATCAAAATGATCTCGAATATAGCATAAGCAAGACGGAAGAAGATGGGCTTAGTGTTGAACCTGCTGACAAGGAAGAAGGAAACGATGATGAAGATCCCATGAAAGATGACAGGGAAAATAATAATGAAGGAGATAATGAACAAGCTAAAGAAGAAGAAGATGATGATGATGAAGACCACATGAAAGATGACAGGGAAGATGAGAATGAAGAAGACAATGATGAACAAAATAATGATGAAGGAGATAGTGATGAAGATGGTGATGACAAAGATGATCCTGATAATGGCGGCACTATTGTTGCCCACGCCACCACCATGGAATCTGAAGGAGACTCCGAGCCACATGATGATCAACACGAAACACCACATAGCGCTCATGACGATCACTCAGATAAAAAGGAAGACTCGAGTCTGAGATCAGCTAATGACGACAACACGGACGCGTCACTTAGTGCGAGACATGACGACTCTAGTCGAAAAGAAAAAGGTGTTCAAACCTCATGAACGATCAAGATAAGACAATCTAAAGCAAGAACCACAATGTTGTTCTTAACAAATCTGGACGAAGAGATTAAACTACGTTGCAAATGGCTAAAATCCAACCAAAAGCATAACAATCAAAAGCTCACGGACTTGTCCGTGAACATGAATCTCGTTTTGGAAAAATTATCATCTATGCAAGCAAGTCATGCGACTGATGGACCAAGTCAGCAAACTCAGTTGCTGGAAAAGATTGTCAAGGAACAACACTCTCCCAAAACATCAAACTTTGCTCTAAAAGAGAGAGTTGATCTTTCATGCACGAAAATTGACATAGTTCACGACAACTTATTCACAATGGTGGACTATCAACACCAGATCTTGAATTATGTCAAGGAGCTAACTATCACCGTCAACAAGCTCTCGAAGCCCTCCGACCCAGCCTCCGATGATGCCAAAAAAAGGGGGAAAAGAACAGTAAGAAAGATGATGATTATGAAGAAGAAAGAAGAGGAGAAGGTTTTGAAAATAGACAAAGTGAAAGAAGAGAAGAGATGATACAAGAACACAAAGGACTACACCTCCTGCCTCCAAATCAAATCTTGCCCCCAAATCAAATCACCCACCTTCTTCAAGATCTCGTCATCATTCCTTAAGACCTTGTCAGTCTTATGGCTCCAATTCCGCTTATCCATTTCATTGACTAACTTAGAGAGAAAATAAGAACCTTCATCAAAAGTTGATGCGCAACAGATATGTAACAATGGACGCAGCAGGAAACTTCCTTCAGTATAGGGAATATGAAGAAGGAAGTGGAAAAAGATTTGAAGGCTACAACATGCCTACATGGCTGAAGAAAAGAGATAATTCAACAAGACAAGAGTATCAAAGAAAGAAGAATGAGGAAATAAAGAGAGCAAATGTTAAACTTCGTCTTAAACAAGAAGAGGTCAGGAAAGAGAAAGAACAAGAACTAACTCACTTTCAAGAGACTCAAGAAAAGATAAAAGATGTTACATGAGTTGGAAAAGATGCTGATCTAGGCACCAAGCATAATGTCGTGTTTAAAATTCATGAAGAATCTGGCAAGAGTAACGTAGAAGGGATGAACTCAATTGAACTTGTGATGTGGTGGAATCTCAACATCATTCCAGGACAAAATGTACTTGAGGCTTATTACAACTACATGACCTACAACTTGTCAGAAAAATATGCAAAATTGGCTCGATCCAACCCCGTCCGAATCTTCAGAAAGTTAATCAACGATGACTTAGATATCCAGAAAATGCTCAGGGATTAGAAGGCTCGAGATGACAAAGAAAGAAAGGAAGCAGATCTGCAAAAGCAAAAACTTTTGAACATGTAATTGTGTTACTTCTTTTTGTAACCAAATGATCATCATGAATGAAATTTCATTTTGCAGGTTTTGTTATGTTTCATTTGAATTTGTTTACATGGACCACTCTTGTAAACTCTACATTTAGGCTGTTTTGGAATGAAAATCCTTTGAAGGATGTTTTTCACCCTTATAGCAAGAGTGTAGGTTTTGGCATCATCAAAAAGGGGGAAATTGTTAGGAACAAGTGTACATAGATTTTGATGATACCAATCTTGCTAGGATTGTAGACCCATCTTTTTTGTTTTATCTTAGAACTTTCGTGTTAAACGAAAGCTGTTGCAACTTACTATATGATTCGTACTATGTGGTACACGAATCCGAGTTGTGATTAGTTTGTTAGGTCAACTTGAAGACTTGAAGATAAAGAGAAGGATGAGAGAATAATTTAGACCGAAAGATGGAAGGGTCTAACTCTCGTATGATCATCAAATGATAAGGAAGATCATTTGACTGAAAGAAAGGACGGAAGATAAGGTTAATCTTTCGTGTAACCTTTTCGAGACAACAACCCTAAGTCAGACTTGAATAGACAACTATGATTAAGTGAAACAAAAAGAATGTTGTCTATGTATCGCAGCTGGGAAATCATCCTAGACAAAAGGAGTCTTAGGAATGATACTCACAAAAACCAAGGAGCATTAAATGATTGGTACTTCATGTCATCGAAAAAGGACAAAAAGCCATGTTTTTTTATACCAACAGCTACACAGTATAGTCGCAATACATGCTCCATGCCCAGTTGTTAATACACGTTGGTTAATAGGTTTGAAATTTCATCTCCCTCCAACGGGTGAATTTTTCCACACCTATAAATACCTCTCTTCACCATTGAAGAAGGTGCTGGTTGTTCAACTGATTTAATCTTAAGAAAAGCTCTTCATACAAGTCCATCCAAAAGTTTTTCATAACCACCGTGTTTGAGTTGTGAAGTTTTCAAAGAAGCTCATCCAGATTTCATACTTCACAACCTGAAGAAGTCCTGCATTTTTACGTGAAGATTCATCCATTCATCAAGTCAAGACTTCAAGCTGTTGGAGAAATACATTATCAACTTCCAACACTCAACTCTGAAGAAGAAGTTGATAGAGGCGGTGTAACACCCAAAAATTTTTCAACTTTTAAGACTTTTATAATAAAGGTAAATCCTCATAGAATTCCAAAACATAACATAAGAGTACGGGGTGCTATGCCACACCTAAGCCAGAGGACTTAGGTGCACAGGCTACTAACTAAAATCCTCAATAATGTCAATACATAAGCATGGCACGCAGGCCGAAAGGGGAACTATCTATTCTATGCTTCAGATCTCTAGCGCGCTCCAGTGTCTACTCATCTGTGCCTGAAAGCCAAATATATCTGTTCAGCGAGAGATGCTGGTAACCCACTCCAACGCGTTGAAATACATTACATATAAATATATATAGATATAGGAAAAACCATTTTGAATCATGAAGATATATCCTAGGAACTCTAGCTTTAAAACCGGGAATAGACTCGACAGATAAGGATAAGCACATCAAATAACAATAAGCAGTTTAAATAGAGGTAACATCATAAGGAATGCACAACTCAGGTCACTTCTCAATTCCAAACACATCATCACCCAATCATCATTCATGTCACATCATCATTGAATCATCATCAAATCACCACTCAAATCACCACATCATTCATATCACAACATCATCGAATCACCACTCATATCACATCTTCATTGATGGCGCCACGGGACCAATCGCATGCCCCGAACATGAGGGTCAATGCATATAGCATTAACACGGCCCCGCAGCACCCTACCTCAATACCGCGGTACGAGGGGAGTTGATCGCAACCAACCCTTTGAGAACCGTTGACGAACTCAACGTCGGACCACGATCCTACACACCACTGACGCACCCAGTCGGTGGACCGCGATCCCCTTTTCAAGGGGGGACTTACGACCCTACACACCGCCGATGGGTACGCCGGTGGACCATAGCGGATCAAGCCCGATACACCGCGGAGCTATACTCAGTCGGTGGGCGAAGATCCTCGGAGACTATGGCCCTACACACCATCGTCCCATCGCTCGGTGGGTCGCAGCCAGCCGTAGCCCTACACACCGTCCTGGCGCGTTCAGGTCCGGTGGGTCATAGCACCGAGGCCCATGTGGACCGCAGCCAAAGAAGTGAATCACTGACCGCAGCCAGGAGAATGAACCGCTGCTCATAAGTAATCATCAGTGGACCACAGCCCTATATAATATTTATATACCTGACCGATCGCAACCGGCCTGGTTAACAGCTAGTATGGTTCTCAACCCATCCAACTGCCCGTATAGCCAACTTGAACCAAATTGGGGAATCATGCATCACATACACATTAGAGCACATAGTAGCACATTAGGAAGGGGAGACATATAATTAAGCTTACGTGTGATCATTCACATACTAAGAATCGTCCTAAGGGGTTCATACGACTTCCACCTAGGTCAACGGGCTACCAATTCAACTAGCATGCAATTCCTAAGATTCACCTATCCTACGAACGGCACCCGAAACATCAAACTAGACATAGGCACGATAAACGGGGTCCGTTGGGACGCCACGGGGAATGGAGGACATCAAACGGGGAAGCCGGGGACCCGAGGTGGGTCACGAATCAGCGGGTGGCCGGTGGGTGAGGGATCACCCGCCGGCTACCCGCCGGAGATCACTGCCCGGCAGCGGGTTGCCGGCGGGCGGACGCCTGCCCGCTGCCCGGCGGTGATCTTCGGGCAGCGGGTAGGTGGCGGGTACCCCTACCCCCACCTACCCCCCACTGATTCATTCATCAATATTTCGCCCCGAGAACCTTTGTGGAACCCGAAACCATGCTTAGATACTTTTAAACGCAATTAACGACACCACGTAGTCAAATAACGGATCAAAAGCAAGGATCACATACGTCTTATCCTATCACGACTTCTAAATATAAACAACACCCGAACATGCGAATTCCCACCCAAATATAAATCAAGAACATCACAATATAACTTCCCAATCCAACCTAGGGCTCAAATCCCACCCAAATCATCAAGAACATATTCCATCTTTAACATCAAGAAATATCAAGATTCGGCAAGAATCATCATATCAAAATCAAGAACTCCTTTTCAACATCAAGATCATCAAGATCATCAAGAAAGTATATAAATCTTCCCATCAATCACCAAGATCATAAAACACATTAAGCACATTAAGCATTAAACTGACGCACTTTAAGTACACAACACGCATATTAAGCACACAAATAAAACACCTGAAGAATACAAACCCACGCACTTTAAGCACAAAACTCACGCACTTTAAGCACAAACCTCACGCACCTTAAGCACAAAATTCACACACCTTAAGCAAAAAATTCACGCACCTTAATCACAAAAACACACGTACCTTAAGTACAAAACTCACGCACCTTAATCACAATACTCACGCACCTTAAGCACACAAAACTCATGCACATTAAGTGTAACACCCCGTGTTACGATCCCTAAAACTAATTAAATCATTTAATTAATCACATAAGAGAAAGAATTAAATCACAACAATTAATTAGGGAGGCCCACCATAGTCCATGGGCCCTTATCCCTAAACCCAATCCTTAG